CCAAAAACACATATAGTACAGGTTGCGGTCAATATTTTACCCTTTCTTAAATTTTGAGCTGAAGCTGAGCGAAATTCAGTATGATGAAATCCAACTGATCTGAATCATTTGTATATTTTGTCGAGTCTAGCCGAACCTTAAAAAGTCGAGCTCGATAACGAGTGAAAGGAAATCGAGCATAGCTTGATAAGATCAATGCTAGATTGTAAAGACCTTAGCTCGTTTGCAGCTCTCCTTAGGATCATTACAATGAAACTGATTTAGAATAAGTCAGAAAATTTTGAAATGAAGGATAATATATTTTTTTGATTGGTGGATGAACAAGTGTGATTGAATGTATATCCCATTGGACCCATAATATCCAAAGTTTAAAAAAATTGTGTTACTTTGAGGGGATCACAAAGCTTGATCCTCAAAATTAATGGGTGTATCAGTGTCACTATTGTTCATAACTTCATGCACTCATTCCATTTTTACACTTCTAGCCAAATTACTATTTTGACAATGTTAAATGCAATCATAATAATTAGAACCTCAAATTACATTTCACTACACAAGAATCACATCAAAATTCTCCTAACTAAAAAAATATTCCATGTTTGTGGTGTAGGTGGGCCCAAGGTCGACAAAGGACCGCGAAGCTTTCTCCCCGAACAACATCATGTCGATGTTGACGGGCGCAGGTTTGGTGTGGATGGGTTGGACCGGTTTCAACGGCGGTGCACCATTTGCTGCCAACCGATCAGCCGCCTTAGCTATCCTCAACACCCATATATGCACTGCCACTAGCCTGCTGACATGGCTCGCTCTCGACATAATGGTCTTTAAAAAACCGACCGTGTTTGGAGTCACGCAAGGGATCATAACCGGCCTCGTCTGCATTACCCCTGCAGCAGGTACGTGAGTACATACGAGCGTACAACCTTTTATTGAAAATTAAGGGTGATTGAATATAAGTTATTATGGTTTTGATTAGATTTGTTAGATAATCAGAGTTAATTTTAAAATAAAAGTTAATTGGGTTAGATTAAATTAATATTTAAAATACATTGATTAAAGTTGGTTTGATGTTAAAGTAAGAGAAACATGATTGGAAGTGATTAGTAGTTAAATTATATGAGTGGGTGAATAGTGAATAAAGACGATTTGAGGTATGAAGATTATTGATTGATATTATTTAATTATATTGATAATATTGAGGTGAGTTAAGTTGAGTTAAATATGAGTTAGATTTTGAGTTACAAATAATTATCTATAATTTATAACCAGTCAGGGTCATAGGGCGTGATTGGATATGACCGGTTAAGTTATTTCATATTCAATCATCTAACTCAACCAAACTCTCCTACTTTTTTATAATAATAATTCAATTATATCAATCAACTATTTTCGAATTAATTATTCTCACTCACATAATTTTAACCACGTATCACTTCTAATAATATTTCTCCTACTTTTGTATCACATTAACTTTAATAAATATATCTTAAATATTATTTAAGTTTTAATTCAAAATCATCCAGTCAATTTATTTTATTCAGAATAACTTACATTAACTAGACAAAACCGGTCAAAATCGATTGGGATTCATATTCAATCGCGCGCCTTTGTGTTTCGGGTTTCGACAAATTTGTCATAATAATAATAAAAAAAAATGTCAGGCGTAGTGCAAGGATGGGCCGCAATAATCATGGGCGTGCTAGCGGGCTCCGTGCCGTGGTTCACGATGACGATCCTCCAAAAAAAGCTCTCGATCCTCCGGAAGGTCGACGACACGCTAGGCGTGCTCCACACACGCGGTCTCGGGGATATTGGGGGGGATACTCACAGGCCTCCTGGCGGAGCCCAAGTTGGCCCGACTCTTCTACCTGGTCGACGACTGGCAACATTATATTGGGCTTTTTTACGGGCTCCACTCGGGCAGGGCCCAAGCAGGGGCCCGACAGTTGGGGGTACAGGCCCTTGCAATGGGCCTTGTCGTATGCTGGAATATCGTGATCACGAGCTTGATATGTGTGTTGATTAGGACTGTTGTGCCATTGAGATTAACAGACGAGATTATGGAGAAAGGAGACGAGTCGGTTCATGGGGAAGAGGCGTACTCGTTGTTTGGAGATGAGGGCTATAAGAACTTCAATGCTTAAGGATCTTTAGCTTAACTAATTAATGTGATTTTTAATTGTATTGTTATGAACTTTTGTTGGATTTGGGTAAGAAGATTAGAAGTTTTGTGTAAATCGATACAAGTTTGTGACTATGTATGTGTGTTTCATGCAGTGTTCAAGAAAAAAAAAAAAAAAAAAAA